GATGGATAGAAAGATATCAACAAATGTATATATATATATATATATATATATATATATATATATATATATATATATATAGAGAGAGAGAGAGAGAGAGAGAGAGATAGATAGATAGATAGATAGATAGATAGCGACAAATGGAGATAGATAGAAAGAAAGAGAAAAACAATGAAACAAAGAAACAAAAAAGAAATAGTACAAAACAAGTGTATCACTGCTTCGCGGGTATAATTATATGTAATTTACTTTTCATTTATTTTTATTTTCCCTCTTCCATCATGAAGATGTTCACACGTTATTGCTAAAATCAATTTTTCTAATTTTCACACATGTATATTCAAATATCATTTAACAATAGACTCCTGCTGTTTAGGGTTTAATTGTAGCAGAAATAGAGCTTTCAATTTTAAATGGAGTTATTGTTTGGCTAATTACAAGGTAATTCTGGCTATTTATTTATTTATTTATCTATTTATTATTTACAGATAATTCTTATACAAATCTTTCAAACATGAATGGCTTACCAGCTGCATCCGGCGGCCTTTAAGCATTCCTATAAGTATGAGATATGTTTAAAAAACTGTGAAATCAGTTCCTAATTTTCAAAAGAGTGCATTCATTACTTTTGCATAACGTAGTAATATTACTATTGGAATTTTTATTGCTTATTTTTTAATCCATTCATCGTAAGAAAGGCGATAATGCCACTAAGACGCAGTGTGTTTCTGGGAGTGAAAGAGAATGAGATGGATTTAGAAGAAACCGGAAAACAAACCCTAAACAGGAAAGAAAGGATAAACATCTACTCTTGTTCAAAAGACCAGGGATGGGTGTTAATCGTGTGATAGGCGAAACTACCTACTTCTATTGAGGTAAAATTAAAATAAAATAAATATAATTTCAGCGTTTAGGTGGAGACGTTAGAAGTATAGAGTTCAAGTAGACTTTAGAAGGAACGGGTAAACCAATCCTAAAAGTAAACAATGGATAAACCTCTACTCCTGTTCAAAAGGCCGGGGAGGAATGTTAACCATATGATAAGCGAAGCTATCTCCTCCCACTGAAGCAATAAAATAAAACAAATATAATAGCATAATAATCGCAGAAATATCTTATCGAAGTGACCTCATTAGGACAGTTATATAAAGAAAGGTACAAGAAAGCGAATCCTAAACAGGAACCAAAACAAGAGAGGCGTGTCAACCATATGATAAGCGAATTTATCTACTCCTACTGAGGTAAAAAAAAAAATTAAATAAATAATTTCAGCGTTTAGGCGGAGACGTTAGAAGTATAGAGTTGAAGTAGATTTTAGAAGTAAACAGGTTTAGTTTAGTTTGTTTTGTTTTACGGCATATCAACCACAATGGGTTATTTAATGCCGACAGTTTTTATTGCTAGTAATATTTTTCTTCATAAATGTATTGCTGGTAAAATTTTTTCCTTCAAAAATGTATTGCCGGTAATATTTTTTAAAAATCTATTTCTGGGAATATATTTTTCAAAAACTTAACAGCTGGTAATTATTCTTTTTAAAAATGTATAGTTTGGTTCGGTTTTCTTTGTTATGTTTTACGGCATGTCAAACTCAATGTGTTATTTAATGACAACAAAAAATTTTGTTACTAGTAATATTTTTTTTTTTCAAAAATGTATAGGTATTAATAATTTTTCTTCGAAAAATTATTGCTAGTAATGATATTTTTACAAAGTATTTCTGGGATTAAAAACCTTTTTTTACATTTTCATAGTGTTTTGAGGCCAGTTTGGGGGTTAACTATTTACCCATAGCTGGAACCCTAACAGGTGCTGCCACCCCGGGTCAGATGTAGCAGCAATTAAGGAAAACCAGCAATGAAGAGGTGGATCCACGCTCCTTAGTACCTCCTGATCAGAGTCGTTGTTGTCGGACGTAGTTTATCGTCATACCCAGGACGGAAACTAAACAGAAAAGCCAATCCTAAACCTGAAAGAAAGGATAAGCCTCTAATTCTTTTCAAAAAGTCTGAACCTGACAATAGGGGGATCTATCTAAACATATACAGCCATAAATCATGGGTACGCCCAGTGAAGGTCGAACTTACTTTATGTTCACATTTGCTGAGCATTGTTTTCTTTCTTTTTCAAAGAAATTATCTGCGTCTTCATAAATTTTATTATTAAGTTATTTTGCTGGGTGGTAATTGAGAAAACTAATTTAAAAATGACATTTTTCTCAGTATTTGCTCGGTTTCTTTGTAGTGTGTCTACATAAGTGATCCTGTTCCTAAATTTTAAGTATTTTTATTTGTTTGCTGCTAAAACGTCATTTTGAAACAATCTGTAGGGTGTAGACTTCTAGAGGTTACCATAAATACTACACGAGGACGAAGAACTTATTTTACTGCCAAGGAAAGCAAACGAAATAACAATGCTTGTTGTTGCTGTTGTCTTCATAGCAAAATACAGAATTTTTCTTCTCAAAGCGGATTCCAAAAATATAGTTTGAATAAGCATGTAATGATGGCAACAGCTTCAATGACTGACAAAAATAGAATCACGTTAAGAATAGCAACACCTAAACAAGAATAAAAGGAAAAATGTCAAAAAGGGAATTATAATTTCAATTAAAGAGTTTCGGGACTAACGAAGTTCTGTCAATATCAGAGTGAAATCAGAGAAAAAATATGTACGTCTCTTTGTCATTGTCTGTTGTTTATTTCCAATTATTTGTGAAGAACGAACTGCATACCGCCAACGGGGATTTCCAAACAAAGGAAATATTTCACGTTTCTTGTTTTCATTTCGAGAATGCTGTTTCCGTGGCATCAGAATTCCCGATTAAAAGCAACACCTTTACTAGAATCTCCCGCTTCCCCACTCTCTATTCCGTTCGACTCTTGCGCATCTTCTCTTTTATTTCTTCCTTTTTATTTCTCCCTTCTTCCTTCAATCTTCATGCACTTTCCCCGTCTCTAGTTCCCTCCCCTTGCGAATACATATCTAAATGCATTACACTATATTCTTTGTCACAGAAGGAGAAATGAATTCGCTAAATAATATCTGCTCGCAAACCATTGTGTTATTGAGCTTTGCGCCAAACCTGTATATCTTTTCAAGGACAGAACTCCAGTTTATTAATGAGACCTTTTCATATGTTTTATACCGACATATATGTCTCATAATTACACACATCAACTTCAGATCACATTACTACACTATTTTGCTTCAAAAACATGATGCTACAATATTATCAATCTCACTGTGTCCCGTCTTTCTCGAGTTTATTCCGTCAAAATAATTTTTTTTAATCGTATCACCACATGCATGGCGTTAACGCCACTAAAACGCAACGTGTTCTTGCGATGAAAAAGAATGAAATTATGTCTTTATTATTGTATTTTTCAAAGAATTTTAATGTCGCCATTGCATACACGGAAGTCATTTTTTTGCGGGAAATTTAGTTTTGTTATTATTGAAAATACCATGTTTCTTCAGAATGTAAAAGATCATGGCTCTCCACAGATTCCTTTACTTTATTCTCTGTAAATAGCCAATGATTTCTTAGGAAAGATAGTGTAACGAGAGTAGAACTAGGAAGAATTACTTATTCTCCCAATTACGTTGCCCCTGTTATCGGCATTATTATATCTATGCTATATTAACACCGATATTTCAGGGGCGGAACAGAATGACTGAAAAGAAAAAGAATGACACTGAATATTTAGTTTTCAGAGAGATTTTTATAATACACAAAACTATATATATGTATAAATATGTCTGTGTGTGTTTGCGTGTGTGTACACGTGTCCCATGTGGAGAATAATATATCATATATTTCTACACAGCAAACCAAAGTGTAAGGAGAAACAAAATTGAAATGTCTTACATGTAATATGGAGATATTCCTGTACCTGGAGAAGGCATTTTTGGGAACCCCAATTCAAACGGGCTGGATTCGTCTATGTCCCACCAACGGGCAAAAGCGAGTCTGAGATTTTACCAAATAGATGACTACGAGCTAGAAAGCTATATTCTCAAAAGAAAACGGTACCATGTGCTTGTAAACTGCCGGAGAGGCAAATTCGACTTCAGCCTGAGTCCTTTAGCCCGGGATAAAAGAAAGCTATCTTACGTGGTGGCTGCTCTCAACGAACTGAAATTTGACTGCCGCTTTGGTCATAGTATGGAGTGACGTCAAAAGCAACCGTCATATGACCCATGTTGCTTATTTACACCAAAGGGAGATAAGTGCGTTCTGTTTCCTTATAATAAAATAGTTTTACTTTCCTTATATACGGTTTTGCATAAAACTGGAATATAACTATGTTTATTAACACAAAGTTTTATTTTTTTTATTTATTTATGTCTTAATTATTTTGCTCAAGCAAGGCGACAATGCCCTTAGACGCCAGGAATTGCTGGAAGTGAAAAAGAATGAGAAGATTTTACTTAGGAGAAAAAACAAGAAAAGAACAGGGTTAGGAAAACAAAAGATGACGATTGACACTATATTTATATTTCGGGTGATTGTAGATTACAGGGAAGTAATAAATACAGAAGAATAAACCGAGGAAAAAAAACTAACAGAAAAAGACGGACTTTAATGAGGAGAAAATAGAGGAAAAGAAGAGAAGAAGTTGATTGAATGATAGATTCGTTTTCTACAGCTTATCAACAGGGTTATTTAAAGCCAGAAAACATTTTTAGATTATAAGAATTTTATTAGGGAGATAATAATGTTTTAGTGATACTTATTAATTAACCCATAGCTGAGGGTGAAATGGTCGGCTCATATCTTTCTCAGGGGTATTTACCCCTAATTGAATATAACAAGCCCAACTGGAATCGGAACTCGGCTATCTGAGCCATTAAACATTATATGATCCGCACATTCAAGTTTACCGTGGTCCCCCATCTAGGTACAGACCAGGCTAGACGTTGTTTAACTTCGATGATCGCCCGTGAACAAGAGTTTCAATGTGATGTGCTCGTAAGCCATAGCATCCGCACACCCAAGCTTTCAGCACCTGGTATTCCCACGCTGCCACCCATCTAGATACTGACCAGTCTCGACGTTGCTTAACTTCAGTGATCGTACGGGAACCGGTGTTTCAACAAGATGTGGCTGTAAGCAATTTTGAGAAAGTGTATGACCAGGATTCAAGAAAAGAGAAAATGGCGATTGATGTTGCATTTAACTTTTTGAAGACCGTACTCGGCAGAGGAGGCAAGAAACAGGAAGAGATTTCCACAGGCGAAAAGTGCGAGAAAATAAAGTATTAGAATAGAAGAGACGGTTATATTTAGACATTTCAACAGTAAGGCGGTGAGACCTTATTGTCAAATAATACTGTGCTGAAATGCATACCATCGAGTTACTGAGAATTCATTAGAACTGTTGTCATGTAAATATTTATCAAAAAGAAACAGGAAAGCCACACCACGGGAAAGGTCACTGAAGTTGAAAGGTAAGGTCAGGGACGATAATATTACAGACCCTTATTTGGATTTTGTCGAGAATCTAGAAATGTATAGCAGGATCGAATAGTGATTTGTGATGAGAAATGGTGGAGTAATGGATAGCGGCTAGAGTTGAGGAATCGGAGAGCCGAGTTCGAATTCCAGTCGAATCCATTACATTCAGTTACATTCTAATACCCTTGAGAAAAGGTATGAATCCTCTTCTTCTACCCAACTACACCTATGGGTAAATAACAGGATAGACCGGGTTCTATAACCTTGGATGGCAAACTGGTCTACCGCAAAAAGAAATGACAACCTACTGCGAGAAAAAATCTGCCTCGTCAGTCATGTATCAAAAGATATATGATAGCTTAAGCATTTATCCCGCATGGTACATAACTGACTGATGAGGACTGGGTCCTTTATTGACAATCGTTCGGCTGGATGGCTTGATCCTGACAAAGCACAAACCATTTTCCAAAATAGAAATTGCATCAACAAATGATTATGGTGAGTGTCTGCTGGTCCACCATTGACATTACAGCTTTCTGGAATCTGCCGAAGTTTACTGCCAACAACTGGGGAAAATGCACATTCTGTTAAGTAAACTACCAGCGCCATTGGTTAATCGATGAGGTCCAATTCTGCTTCCTGACAATGTTCGGGCACGTGTTGCGAGGATGACATTCATCGACTTAGATTAAGAGACTTTGCCACTTCCACCGTATGGCTCTGATGTCTTGACAATATCTTCAGCCAAAAGACATTCTTTTGCAAAGAAGATGCAAAAACTGTATGCAAAGATTTTTTGGGACATCCAAACCGTTAAATTTTTATCTTAAGCACGTAAAGAATCTTATAAGTTGATGACAGAAATTTATAGGTATTCAGATCTATTTTGAATGATTTAAACACTGTTTAAATACATTAATTCAGGAATAAAAATTTATTTTATAATCGGACATTATTTTCCGAACAGCATAATATATATATTAATTCAACCAAATATGTGTAAATTTCTGTCAGTTTTTGGAATTAAGACTTAACAATATTTATAATACTTACATATATTACGTCCACCCAGTACGATGATGGAGTAGTAGGATCTATTAGGGTCCAAGCTGTGGGCAAATAATTAACACCCAAACTGAAGTCAAAACAATATGAAAAATATAGCAGCAACACATTTTTGAAATATAATATTAAAAAAATGTTACCAGCCATTCATTTTTAAAAAAATATTAGCAGCAATATATTTTTGAAAAAAATAGTATTATCACCAATAAAAATCTTGTCGGCATTAATTAAACCATTTAGGTTGATATGCCATAAAACAAATCAAACCAGTAGAATGTTCAAGAGCCCTCAAAGTAGAGTGTTACAGATTAAGAGGTTCTGTTTATTTGGATATGAGGATAAGATAACGATTGGGCGGACAGTTGAAGTTTAATCAGTAGGTAATTTAGGTTGAAGTATCAAAGTTCTACACTCAGATGATAGACTAGTACAGGGGTCGGTATCGTTTTGGATAGAGCAGGCCAGGCAGCAAGATAATATTTCGGAGGAGATCCATGGTATCAAATGTGCCATAATAAAGTGTCTTGACCTCACACAGCTCCGTCCAGAAGGTTGCCTTGGTTTGCAGAAACTTTCTTTACAGCAATTGTTTCTTGACAGATTAAGCAAATACATTTTCCGAAATGCTCAATGATAGAATAGTTATGTGTCCAACTTTCTTTAACATTTCGGCAAACAAAAATCTAATTTTTTAAAGTTTTGTTTTTGTTCAGTCGTCTTTTCAGAAGCTTTATTTTATTTATTTATTTATTGACTTCTGGAAAGGAAAGAAAAAATGGAGTACGGTAATTGATTTAACTTTAGTTACGGTTAAGTTGTCAGGCCGGACTAAAATCCTTACCTGGCCGGATGTTGCCGATGTCTGGAGTGGATAAACTATTGCATTTTGTACCATCGTAATCGCTGGACCGGGCTCTGGAGACTTGAACTCAGGAGTAGAGGAGCTAGCAATATGAATATCAACTAGACGCGATGGTCAATAGAAAGAGAACTCTTTTCAACGCAATATACTTCATTCCATCCTGCCAGAACTTGGCATCTTTTTAGTGATTTTCTAAGCCCGGCTTAGATGTGGCACAAGGCCGGAAGTACGGGGCACCCAGCGAGGATCGAACTCACTAATCAGTCGTAATTAATCTAGTAAGACAAGCTTTTTAACCATTACACTACGTCAAGGAGCCATTTGGCATCTTTTTATAAGTTGTGAACTCGTCTAACTGGTTTATATTGGCTTCTATAGAACTAAACTTCTTCCAACTAAGCGATGTTTTATCGGCACTTTGACGTGGTGTCATGGTTAATAAGCTCCTCTTGCTAAATCAATCACGACTGAATCGTCGGTTCGATCCTGACTAGGTGCCCCTTACTTTCGCCCCTGTACCACGTTGCCTAGAAAATCAATTTGTCATTTCGACGTGGTGTAATGTTTAGCAAGCTAATACTGTCCAACCTCGACAGTGTTCAAAGGCTCTTAAGTGGTATTTGGGGTGATGAATCATTATCCAGCTTGCAACTCTTAATCCCACATCCGATCGTTATTGATATGGCAGATGTTTTGACGAGTTACGTTCCTTCGTGCCACATGCCCAGGCCTTCACAGCTAGGACCTCCCACCATGCCTCGTTCACGGTGGTAAATAATCATTATTCCCGACGTGTACTTTGATAATAAAAAAAACAAGTTCCACTCAAACAGTTTCTTCATCAGAATTTTGTGAAACAAACTCCCGAGAGAATACTTCCATAACAACTACAATCTTGGCCTGTTTAAGTCCAGGGTTAACTGATATCTATCCTACTCGTGCTCATAATTCTCCATTACCTCCCTCTCTCTTACAATCTCCGTCTTTAACTATCAACTTTGAGTGGCTCTTGGGGCTTGTATTGGACGAACTATCAGTAAATATAAAAAAGAAAATCAACAAATAAAAGACCATTTATAATGATTGTGCTTAATACACGAGATGAACTATAAATTTTTTTTTGTCAATTTTGGAAATGTTTTTATTATAGATTTGCTTCAGTGGTTGTCAAAATATTACTGGTGATGGTGACCTCAGGGTTGGCTGATATTTGTGGGTAGTTGTGTGAACAAAGGAATAATTCCAGATCGTTATAAGAATTTTCTTTTGAGCACCAGAATGAAAAGCGGTTTTAACTTGGATTTAAAACAAAAAGCATTCTCCTTCGAGAAGAAAAAATAATGAGAAAGTACCTCCTTTGAAGTTTTCTTTCTCAAAAAGAAAAACGAAAAATAAGTGTGTGAGTTTCATTCGAATATGAATTCTGCTTTTTTCAAAACCAGATCCGCTTTTTCTATTTTTGTATATTTGCATTTCTGTGTCACTCTTTTTAGGATTCCTATTTTTTCCGAAAGGATATTTTCTCTCCTTTAAAAGAAAAAATCTATTTTTGTGACATTCTTTTAAATCTTTTACAAGCTTAAATTTCCTTGATAAATTTGCCGTGGGAAAAGCAAATGATTATGAAGTGAATGCAATAAAAATTGCAAGATATTTCTAACTTTTTTGTTTTAAAGAATAACAAAGGAGAAAGATTTTCAAGCGTGGATTACAGAGAATTTAATCCTATACACATAAAAATGCTTTTCTTTGGATTATGACTATTTGATAGGGAAAATAGTTGAATACAACCAACTGACTGATAACTTTAAAATAAAAGAAGATTGTGTTGTTGAAACTAAACTTTATGACGATAAAAATAAAAAATCGGCAAAGGAATCACAAGAAAAAACATAGAAAATCTAGGGTCAAGGGTCAAGACCAAATGAAAACCGGGTTATTTCTCTGCTGCAAATTTTGTCAAACAAAATTCAAAGATAGCCGAATAAAGAAAATAAAAAGATAAAAATAAAGAAAGAATTGAATGCGCTGGTAGAGTTGCGGTTATTGTCGATTGACATGTTATTCTTGCCTACTGGTTTGCATTTGCATTCACGCATGCATAAATTTGGAAAGATACGAATTCATCTCTTCTCGCCTCAGCTAGGGGTTAATAACTGGTCAGACTGGGTTAGCAGATTCATTTTCTACAGCTTACCAACCCTTTTGCAGGTTATTTAAAGCCAGAAAATATTTTTAGATTGTAATAATTCTTTTTAGATAATAATGTTTTAGTGCTACAACTCTTTCTAATTAACCCATAGCTGGGGGAGAAGAGGTGGTTTCATACCTTTCCTAAGCGAATTTGCTCATAAGTGGATATAACGAACTCAACAGGAATTGGAACTCTGCTTTTCGATTAACAATTCCGTGCCATTATCCATTACCTCAACCGCACATCCAAGCTAACAGCACCTGGTATTATCAAGCTGTCACCCATCTAGATACTGACCAGTCTCGACGTTGCTTAATGTCGGTGAACCGGTGTTTCAACGTGATGTGGCAGTAAGTCTTATCAAACTGGGGTCTCTAGTTTTGGTTGGCAACCAGTCTAGGAGAAGTACAAGTCGAAATTGCAAATCGGTTAGGTGTGGAACGAGAAACTCCAATCCGTATAAACCTAAGGAATATATGGAAGCCACGACAGTAGCAACTAGTGTGATTTGGGTCTGTTCCTGTACTCAATAGG